GGGGGGCGAACCAGTGGAGAAATATGAGTAGGAAATCGGAAAAATGAAAACAAGTAATAGCGCTGAGTAAGTGAAAACAGGTATATGATCAGAAAACCAAGTTAACTACGATCTTTGAAGTTCACTAGTCACTTTTTTCGTCTGAAAAAAAACTTCCGAAAATAGGGTGGAACAGAATTAGGAAGCGATAATGATTATGAGAGATTACTTCAATGTATTACAAAATTACCCACAAATATGAATGGTAACTGGCATAATTTAAGCATCTTACTCTTTTATTTCAGGGAATAGCATAACAGAAGTCGGAATCAGATTACTCACCAAAGCTCTTGAAATGCAGACCTCCCAACTCATGGTCGATGGCTTGCAGTTTGGATTTGGTTTGACAGATATTGTGATTAAAGTAAGCAATATTTTAATTTGGCAGCAAAAGTGGATTTTAAGTGTTTTCTAAAATGACGACTTTTGAGATATTATAATAATTCAAACTTTCATTAGAAAAATAAATTCTGCGAAACCGATGATACATATATGCTATTTATGGAGGAATTCGAAAGGAAAAAGCGTTGCTTGGAAAGCCTGAAATTGATGGAAACATGAAGATATCTAACCGTTTGCTCGGTTTGGGTTTTGTTCTTGCATGCAATAAATCAATTTCCCCTGAAGATTTTCTTATGCGTCTGGCTATGTAAGAATCTTCTTCAAATGTGTATTAGAACTGATACTTCCATTTAGGGAAATATTATTAAGCACTTATCTCTGTTTATAACGGTAACTTCCAAAATCCATCTAAAGAGAGAACCTACTTCTAGCTTAAAACTTGCAAGCTGGAACTAAGTAGTTCTGGTAGCCGTTCCACTCACTCAGTGATCTCACTCATTAGTAGTGTATAGTAACAAGAAAGATACTACCTGTGATAAGATATACAGTAATACCAATTGAGGGGCTTATAGAATGCCAACTATAGTCCTGATACCTGGGGATGTGAGGAAAGCCAATTGGAAACAATATAAAGGAATCTGCAAAGCAGGCTCAAAGGTATTTGAACAAAACTTGCTCTGTGTATGATTGTAAGCATGTTTTACGTTGCTAAAGCACGCTTGGAACAAAGCATAATTGTTTTCTCAGGCAAATAGGAGGTATTCGATTGACATATTGAAATAACGGCTGTTTAAATACAATTTAGGGTTAAAACCAGTTTTTATTTACGAAAAGACAAATACTTATAAGTGGTTTATTCAATAGCATCATTGTAGTAGGTTTAAATGATTATTATTCTGAGAAGTGGAGGAGCCCTGGGAAAGTGTCCCAAGCCGTGGCAAAGTCTAGGTATTTTGTGTGAATATTTTGAATGAGACACTTTTAGACTTCCTTGAAAGCCGTTAAATCAATTTCATAGTTGCATTTTACTCAAAATCAAGCACATCGAGGAAATATATTTGAGCGAATTTTGTCCCTATTCTTGATATGGATGACGGCTTGCTCTCTTAACGATAAAATGTAATCATATGTCTTAACAGCTTCGTCATTTTATAACATAACAGATAAAATCCAACGTACTTTAGACCTTATAAAGACAAACATTCAGTAATAACGCTATTAAACACTATTACATATTTAGATATTTAAGTTTTCTGACAACTAAGTTAGTTTGTGTTGCAAAATATTGCGTTATTCTGGTACGAATTTATGGTAAGATTTGCACCGATCACTAATAATTTACTTCAAATTTTAAAATTTTACTGAAAGAAAGTTTACTTTATCTGCTGACCTTGTGATTGTGAGTTTATTAGCCCTCCTTTCACCAAGTATGATCCCGTCGCGTTATTCTCTGCTTTGATTATTTTCCTTAAAGTCGTTGAAAATTATGAGCTCAAAGCATATTATCTAATGTTTCATAAATGATGATGCAACATTATTATATTAGTTTCTTATGTTTTTGACGAAATTTACACGTTTTGGTTTTTATGTTTATTTCGTAAGTCACCTTTAAACACCAAATGCGCAATTCATTTCATTTATAGCTTTTAAATGCCTAAAAAGAAGACTGGTCAGAGGAAGAAGCTCGAGAAAAATAAACTCCGACAGAAGGAGATTCGCAATAATCGTTTCAATATCCCTTTAGCAGATCATCCATGCAATGCCAATATGGAGTGTGACAAATGTCAGAAAACCCAGAAGAACAGAGCTTTTTGTTATTTCTGTGGTGCAGTTCAGCGATTACCTATGTGTGCTCAGTGTGGTAAGCAGAAATGCATACCCAAAGGCGATTGCGTCGTTAAACATGGCTCAGCTCATGTCATTGGTATGGCTTTAGTGGTAAGTATTAATCTACCTTTTGAAGAAGAAGCGTTTCTTAGTAAACTGATTCAATTTTATTTTTTCTTCAGGGTGCTATTTGTGACTTTTGTGAAGCCTGGGTTTGTCACGGGCTGAATTGCCTTCAAACTCACGCTTGCTCATGTCCGATGCAAGACTCAAAATGTGTTGAATGTCACCGGGAGATCTCAGAACACGGTGGTCGAATGTTTGAATGTGCTTTCTGTGCCAAACTCCTCTGTGGTGACGATCAATTTGAACATCAGGTTAGCTACTCTGATTTACTGTATCTTTGCTTTCTTGTCATCTGTTTACCAATTTGGTTTCTCACCAGAGAGTCTTCAGGATGATTATCCACTTCCCAAGATAGTCTCTTGGAATTGACTCGGCAGTCGTCTCAAACCAACATTTGACCTCCATAGTTATTAACTCTGGTTTAGATCAGAATCACCTAAGCTATATCAGTATCGTGTTTTGGGTTGGAGTTTTTTATCCTTCTTTCGTGTTTTGCACAGGCTAGTTGCCAACGTTTGGAGGGTGAAAACTTTAAGTGCCCTTCATGCAATCGAATTGGGTCGAATGCATGTCTTAGGTGCAAGACTATCTACTGTGATGATCATGCCAGACGGAAGGGTTTCAAATACTCCCCAGACCAACCTATTCCGTGCCCCAAATGTGGCCATCCACTCGATCAGAAATTCTGTCTCTCCATCTCTAGTGAGTTTGGTGATTATAGCATGATTTAATTCTTTTTTACTCCTAATGGGGATCTTTACTTTAATCTTCTCAAGGTAGTTTTTCGATCGTCATCTTTCAATTTTATGATCAGATCAAATTGACGTTTGCTAACAAACAATAGGTGATTATAAGATATATCAAGTTAGAGAACTTCATGCTTAAGAAAAGTTGCTGTTAATTCTACTTCTGTCCTGTGAATGTATTTCTATTAGAGCGATCGTTTCATCTGCTAGATTTTCGGTTTACGCTTTTATATAAGAGGGTTGAAGAATAAAGCGGTAATTTAGGAATCTAGAGATATGATTTTAATTGTCTTTTTTAAGATAACTTATTACAGTCTTTACAGCAGTACAAAATCTATATTTGCATCGTGAAAAATCGATAAATCCCAAACCAGGAGTATTAAGGCTGTGGTGAAGCGTGAAGGTTCGTAGTTCGGTGAAGTCTAATTAAAAAGTTTCGCTTGTATAATTTTCAATAAGCTAAACGCAGAGAGCTGTAAAGGCACGACCGGCATAGGCTAATATCCCTTTAATTGGTAAAATATGTAAATTGGAGGGTTCAGGGCTATCCAAGTCCTTTTTATATGCATACCCAAAGAATGCTCTCCCCATGATTTTTCGTTTGAGTGGTCTATTTGCCTGAAAATGGATTCCAATGAAAGTTTCGTCTCTGTGATGAATTAAATATCAAAAAAGGTTAAAATTCCAAATCGACGGAATGACTGTTGACTTTTAAAGGGTCCTAATTTCAAAATTTTCCCTCTGTAGCGACACATGATTTGATCTTTCTACTGCTAACTGGTATTCTCGTCGTGTTATTTGGTACAATAAAGAATCTGTGCTTTTGGAATCTCCCATAGTTGAAATCGACGTCCAATTGGGTGGCGGAGATTGCTCAACGTACAGATGTGTTCGTGCATATAAAGTTATGCTCAAAAGACAATCTGGAACCCAGAAATAGAACTGAGTTGTTTACAACACCGAATGCAGGCTATCTCATTGATGTCCTGCTTCATACATTCTCTTCATTATATTCAAGTTTTTTGAACTTTAGAATTCTAACCTGTAGTCAAACTGATTATGTTGAATGCTATTGTCTTTATCCAGTTGTATTTCGAGAGAGAAATCTGATTTCACACTTATATTAGGTTGGCAACTAAGTAATTGCCGATTTCAAATAAGAAGGCAAATTCGGAATTTTTGATTAAAAATATAACTTTATTCAATTAGATATTCGCCGTTCTTGTCGATGACCTTTTTCCATCGTTCTGGCAGAGTAAAAATTCCCCATTCGTAAAATGTCTGGTCTTTGCTATTAAAAAACTGAATTAGGTGTGATCCGACATCATCCGCGTTGTTAACAATTTTACCATTTAAAGAGTTTTGCATGGAACGAAACAAATGGTAATCCGAAGGCGCAAGGTGAGGGCTATATGGTGGGTGTGACAAAACATCCCAACCCAGTTCCAATCATTTTTGCCGAGTAACCAAAGATGTGTGGGGGGGGGGGCCTTGCGTTATCATGATGGAAAACAACACCCTTCCGCCGATTTGATAATGCCGGCCGCTTATCTTCAATTGCATCCTTCAGTTTTTCCAGTTCTTCAACATACACATTTGAATTTATCGTTTGGTTCTGCGGCATGAGTTCAAAATACAAAATTCCTTTGTGATCCCCCCACCAGACTGACAGCATAATCTTTTTTTGGTGAATCTCTGCTTTTGATACTGTTTGGGCTGGTTGATCTTGCTTCACCCATGATCTCTTGCGAGTAACATTGTTATAAACTATCCACTTTTCGTCGCCAGTAACTAGGTTCTTCAGAAATGGATCATTCTCATTCTCATTGCGTTTCAGTAGCGGCGAATCACAGATGCTAATCCGTTGCGTCAAATGAATTTCCTTTAACTGGTGAGGGATCCATAAATCAAGTTTCTTTACGTAAGCAAGGGTTTTTAATTTTTTTTCAATGCATGTATGCGACACATTGAGCTTCTCTGCAATATCTCGTGTTGTGCTGTGACGATTTGACTCGATAATGGCCTTGATATGGGTTTCATCCACTTCGACTGGGCGGCCAGACCGTTGTGAATTTTTCAGTGAAAAATCACCGGAACGAAATCTTTCAAACCAATTTCGACACTGCCTTTCTTTTAAGGCTTCATCTCCATATACGGCACATAACTTCTTCTTTTGTGCTTGCGATGCGTTCTTGCCTTTTCGGAAGTAATACGATAAAATGCGTCGGAAGTTCACGTCCTGTTCTTTCATTTTTAAATTGGGATAAAAACAAAACTAAAGAACTAAACAATAAAAAAGTTTTTACTAATTAACCTAGAAGCCCATACAGTGAGAAAAAAATATAGGTTAGATGCTCTGGCCACGTTAACAAAACAAAAGAAAGTATAGAGTGAATCTGTCAACAAAAACGGCAATGACTTAGTTGCCAACCCAATAAATGAATATTCTTCTCTGTGTTATTGCTTTAACAAAAACTTTTCCATTTTAAAATATAGCTCGACAATATGCTTTCGGCAGGCAGAGACGCGAGGCCACTGCGAACCATGCAGAAGAGGATGAGGATGATTATAACGAAGGATATGGAGATTACGATAACACTGGAGAAGATAGCTGTAATGATTATACGGATGGAGAAGAGAATTCATCAGAAGGAGATGATGATGAGGCGAAAGTAGTTGCAGAAATGGGGAGTATTGAACTTGACGACAAAAAACAATACTCTTAGAGCAGTGATGTAAATTAATTTGTTTATCCCTGTGATTTGTATGTGTGGGAAATTTGTGAATACGTGTCCATCCCAGCGCCTTTTCACTTATCATTTGATTGTTCGAATCATATTTCTTTATGTCTGCTATATTCTACGATAGCATTGATAACTAGTTAAGTGTTGGGGGGGGG